GACTTGATATCAAATTGGCGGCAGAAATCGAGCAAGATCTGCGCAGGGCAATCTGATGCCAGATTGGCAGCAAAAACTGAACAAATTAACTATTATTTAAAATAGTATAGTTCAGTCGCTTACCGCCCTCTACGGCGCGTTATTCACTATCTGTACCCGTATTCAAGTTTTGTCATGAGTGTATATAAAGTCTGCAAAAGACGGCTAATAATATTGTAACATATCTATTTCTTATAGTTCAATTTTTGATTCCCATGCAGGGATATTAGATATTGAACTGATTTTTGAAAAATCGGACAGATAATTGTTGGATTTTCATTTTTATTCGGACAATTTTTGTCCAAAAAATCTTTAATATAACAAATTAAATTATTTAAATTTATCTATATGTTTTAACACATTAATATATGATTTTATATAATGTCTGATTATCTAATGATCATTTTATGACCAAAACTTATCATCATTTTGTTACTTATGGTTGAGACTTTAAATCCATTTAAATATACTGTTTTATATGAATGTGCAGAATTTGCAGAATTTGTTCGGTTTTTGCTGACAATCTGCTGTCAGATTGTCTTGCGCAGATCTTGCTCGATTTTTGCCACCAATTTGCATGTCAAGCATGTCAAGCTTTGCTCGATTTTTGCCATCAATTTGCTGTCAGGTTATGTCAGCAAGTTTTGTCACCAAAACACAAGCTTAATGCGGACACAGATGGCACTGGATTTGTTACCAAGTTTTGAGCGAATTTGGCAACAATTTGTTATCAAATTGCTTACTGGGTATATATACCTATATCTAATATATTTACACAGGGTTGGGAAGTAACGCGTCACTTGTAATGTCGTTACCGTTACAGTCACTTTTTTCGGTAACGATCGTTACTTTTATCTGTTTGTAACGGTAACGGTAACGTCCTTATATTTTTACAGTAACGGTAACGAATAAGTCGTTACTTTTATCGTTACTTTTTGGTTCTTTGTTATCTTATATCTATTCAATAGATGGATGTATTTTTTGAAAAATATTTTGTTGTCTTCTATCATAGGCTGCATTCTGATAGTCACTGCCAGTACTAAAAATCTATAGTAATGTAAATTATAGATTTTACAATACTGGCAGTGAATATTGGAATACACTCCTAATAATATTATCAATATTTTAAAAAAATGTTTGATAAAAATTTTCGACAAAATTGGAATTTGTAAATTACAATTTAAATTCCTATAAAGACAAGTGTATTAAAAAATAAAGATATTAACATAAAAAATTAGAATCATTAAATAAGTTTAATATAAAAAACGCTTGCTATATAGAGACTAATTTAGAGTTTTTAATTGTAACATAGATTATTACATTTAATATTGATTATTAAATAATTTTATAATCTAATAGCTTATTTTAGCATCACAAAAAACAAAAACATAACGGCAAAGTAACGAATCGTTACTTTCTAAGTAACGGTAACGGTAACGCGTTACTATTTAAAATCAGTAACGAGTAACGGTAACGGAGTTACTTTTTACAAAAAATAACGGTAACGGTAACGCGTTACTTTTATAGAGTAACGTTCCCAACCCTGTATTTACATATATTACTTTTCAAGAATATATTAAACGTATAAATACAAATAATTATACAAATATTTGATGTTCTTTCTGATACATTATTTCTGTTATATTAATTAATATTCTTCAATTCAAGATATTTAGAGTTTTTGAGTATCTTCTGTATGCAAGAAAATTTAACGCAAAACACAACATACACTATCCTCTCTCTTGCTATAGATATATTTTTAAATTTTTATCTATATATTTTCAAGAAACACATACATTTGTATAGACTGCTTGTATACATTTTATACAACACACACACATACACACACACACGCGCGCGCGCGCACACACACATACACATATATATATATATACATATATATCCTCTTGTTTTTCTCTATATTACATATTTTGGTAAATGTTCGGATTAACTAGTTAATCCGTGTAAGCTTATACCTCACGGTTTTTATTTTTACATATATTGTAGAGGGTACATTCCTAAATATTAACGCTTTGAATTTTGTGGAGCTTTCTTCTGGTTTCAGAGATATGCGATTTTGAAGTATTGTAAAAATAACATTTTAAGGAAATGGAATTTAACCCCAACCTTGACCTTGATTTTGATATAGTTCAAGTTTATTATAAAATAAACGCGTGGACGAGGGGGCTCCGCCCCATCCCTTGCACTCCGTCCCAGAAAAAATCTAATCTAACCCAACCCATGTCCGTGGGGCGAATTTTTGTTATTTAAAAAAATAATTTATCTCTGGGACAAGGGTTGAGTTAGATTATTTCGAGGTGGGGATGCAGGGGGAGGGGTTCCGCCTCTCCGCCGCCCACGCGTTTATTTAAAAATTTATTTGTTATTTTTATATATAATAAATATTTTTTTTTAAATGAAGTATTCAGGTAAAATAAGAAAAATTTTACAAAACAAAGCAGTATAAAATTGTTTATATCTCATTAAATCATATCGATAACTGAATGTAAACCATAAGAAATTCTTAGCGAAACTAAACAATAAGTAATTCAGAAGCGTGTACTATGACAATGACGCAATAACGACCGAATGTAAACAAAAAAATATAAACATGCAAGTAGGATATACCGATACGAAAAAATGATACAAGTAAATACAAAAATTATGATACTTCAAAATCGCATATCTCTGGAACCAGAAGAGAGTGCTACAAAATTTAAAGCGTAATGTATTACTTATAGGAATGTACCCTCCCTTTACAATACACATAAAAATGAGCTCTATTACACGACTAGGGGTGACGTGTAAACGTAGTCACAGCTATTCCTCTGAAGAATGGAAAGACTATGAGCTCTGTTACACGGCACCCTTAATCGGGTTTAATAACATCCATAGTTCTAAGGCTGGCCAATCACAGTCATTCCATTCTTCAGAGGAATAGCTGTGATTGGCCAGTTTCACAACTACGGATGTTATTAAACCTGATTAAGGGTGCCGTGTAACAGAGCTCACAGTCATTCCATTCTTCAAAGGAATAGCTGCGTGACTACATTTACACGTCACCCCTAATCGGGTTTAATAACATCCGTAGTTTTAAGGCTGGCCAATCACAGTCATTATATTCTTCAGAGGAATAGCTGTTATTGGCCACTTTTACAACTACGGATGTTATTAAACCCGATTAAGGGTGCCGTGTAACAGAGCTCCATGATAATCCGTGAGGTGTAACTTAATCCAAACATTTACTCATATTTTTTTCTGCAGGTGTCCAAACTGCAATTCTTAGTTAATGATTCAGTGAATAATGCAGTAAAACTTAGTTGGGAATTCAAACAAGGCCACATTGCAGCATATGCTGTGCAGGGGCACAGGGCTCGGATGGAAGATCGCTTTGTGGTGAATGAAGATATGAACAATACTGGAGTTTCTTTATTTGCAGTGTTTGATGGCCATGGTGGAGAGGTATTAATTTAACAGACTGATAATTTACTTATATTATTTTAAATTTTGATATCGCATTTTGAATTAGGATAAGATGTTAATGATTAAAGGGATGAATGGCAGATGAATAATAATAATAATAATAATAATTTATACACACACACACATATCTATTTACATAGATTTTTTAAATATATATGACCCGCAGTCAGTCACGTCTGTTCTAACAGATATTGCCAAGTGCTTGCTACAAATTATTGTCAGCAAAAAGGCTACAAATTTGGTACAAGAGTTGTTATTACCGATTAAGCTGGCAGATTGCCGGCAAGAACCAAGCAAAGCTTGCTAACATAACTAGACAGCAAATTGGCGGCAAAAACCGAGCAAACCTTGCTGACATGACTGACATCAGATTGGCAATTTGATGGCAAATTGGCAGCAAAAACCGAACAGAATCTGCAGCTTATTACAAAGTATTATAAAATAGTTCAGTCGCTTATCGCTATGCGGCGCGTTATTCATTATCTATACCCGTATTCAAATTCTTGTCATGAGTGTATATAAAATCTGCAAAATGCTAATAATCTTATAATATATATATTTCTATCAGTTCAATTTTTGACACAATTATTATACAGGAAATTCAGATATTGAACTGATTTTTGGCAAAAAGGACAGATAATTGTTCGATTTTTACTTATTCGAACAATTTCTGTCCAAAAAGATCTTTAATTTTGTAAATTAAATTATTTAAATTTACTTATACGTTTTAAAACATTAATATATGATTTTATATAACAATACTGTAATTTGTCTTATTTTTGCCATCAAAAGAACGTCAAAAAATGGTCTCCCGTAGATGTGATATATTTTGGGTCTTATGAGACCTAACTTAGGATGTCTAATTATCTAATGGTCATTTTATGACCAAAACTTATCATCATTTTATTACTTAGGGTTGAGACTTTAAATCCATTTAAATATACTATTTTATATGAATGGCCAAAAGCTGCAGAATTTGTTCGGTTTTTGCTGACAATCTGCTGTCAGATTGTCCTGCGCAGATCTTGCTCGATTTTTGACACCAATTTGACGTCAAATCATGTCAAACTTTGCTCGGTTTTTGCCATCAATTTGCTGTCAGGTTATGTCAGCAAGCTTTGTCACCAAAACACAAGCTTAATGCGGACACAGATGGCACTGGATTTGTTACCAAGTTTTGAGCGAATTTGATGCCAATTTGGCAACAATTTGTTATCAAATTGCTTACTAGGAATATCTATAAATTTTTATATTTTTATCATATAAATTTTTTAATTATTGACAGCTTTTACTTACTAAAAACTTACTTAAAATAATTTTGATGTTAGTTAGTTTCTTCGACATTGTTGGTGAGTTAAGTAAAATAATTGTTAAATTCATTTATTTAGTTACCAATTAAATAAGTTTATGCATATTTGATTATAAATATACAAGTATCCAATATGTTTGAGACAATTTTATTCTACTTCTTCAATTTATTTTTATGCAAGAAATTATTCTGTCCAGCATATTATCTGTCCAATTCCACACTATAATGAAAAAATAGCAAATCTTAATAACTCTAACTTTGAATATGTTATTGTATATATTATATTTGAGTAGATTTTAATATTTTATTTTATAGATGGAAATTGTAAACGGAAAAAAAGAGGGAACTATTAAATATATATATGAAGGTTATACATACCATTTAGATAAGCGTAATAATGTTTTACGTTGTGCTAATCGAAAATTGACCAAATGCACAGCTTGTTTAATCAAGAATAATGATAATTTTATTATCAAACATTCACATAATCATTATCATAATCCTCAGCTTATTGATATTATCAAATTAAAAGAAGATATGAAAGATATGTCAAAAGAAACTGATTTGAAACCGAAAGAAATATTTGACTTTGTTTGTCGAAGGTAACATTTTTATTATGGTAAGTAATTAAGAGCTATATAAGTAATATACATTTTTATTTACAGTAATCCACTTGTGGGTTCATGCATCACATATTCATCTATGAGAACAATTCTGCATCGAATAAGAAATAGCTGTTTTCCTCCTATACCGAATTCTATGGAGGAATTAAAAGATAGTTTGCTAAATTATGAGGCAGTAAAAGAAATATATAAAGGATATGCCATATCTACTAATAACGAAATAGCTATTATTTTTAGTACTGATATTTTATTAGTTGCATTAGCAGCATCTACAGAGATATATGTGGATGGAACATTTTCTGTAAGCATCGTTCTTGCACACATCTATACATCTATATGTATATAATATATCTACATATACATATATATCTTTAATTATATAGATATATTATTAATTATATATTATTACTTTGTAGGCTGTTCCACGATTTCCACATGTTGCACAAATGTATACTATACATATTCGATACATGGAAACAGTAAGTTGAGCATATTGAAAGAAATATTTCTAATTATTTACTTTTTATCACAGATTTATGCGATAATAATATATATTTTTTTAGAACATTGCTGCAGTATATGTTTTATGCGAAAAACGTACTAAATCAATGTATAATGCTATTTGGAAGAAGATTAAAGAATTAGCTCCTGATTTTCAAAAAAATCTACATTTTATTATGTCAGATTAAAAAAGCAGCAGCAATCTCATCAATGAATGAAAATTTTCCTCAATCGAAAATTCATGGCTGTTGGTTTCATTTCAACCAGGTATATTTTATATTAATATTCTTAATAATAAATAAATTATGTTGCAATTGCAATGCCTTATGTATAGATAAAACAGATTTTTAAAATTATATCTATTTGTAATATAGGCTATTCTGCGCTTATTACTTAGGGTTGAGACTTTAAATCCATTTAAATATACTATTTTATATGAATGGCCAAAAGCTGCAGAATTCGTTCGATTTTTGCTGACAATCTGCTGTCAGATTGTCCTGCGCAGATCTTGCTCGATATTTGCCACCAATTTGACGTCAAATCATGTCAAGCTTTGTTCGGTTTTTGCCGTCAATTTGCTGTCAGGTTATGTCAGCAAGCTTTGTCACCAAAACACAAGCTTAATGCGGACACAGATGGCACTGGATTTGTTACCAAGTTTTGAGCGAATTTGATGCCAATTTGGCAACAATTTGTTATCAAATTGCTTACTGGGTGACATTTCCCGATGCTGATATAACTTTAGATTATCTAATAATACACTAACAACACACATGTCCAGAGGACATCTAGAGGATGTTTTACATCCTTTGGATGTCCTCTGGATATGTGTGTTGTTAGGGAACTCATATGAGTAATATAACTGATCCCAGCAAGCAAAATGATGCAAACTTTGCGCAAAGTTTGCAGCAAACCCGAACATGCCTTAACGCGTACATGTGCTGCGCAAAGCATACAGTGCAGCAATATAAGCCAATTTAAGAAAAATGTTTTAATAAAATGAACCATTTAGTATTGTTTATCGTTAACATCTTTCATGTAGAAATATTGCAAAAAATTATTTTATTATAATATTTTATTATTAAAATTATATAAAAATTGAATTTTGCAATATTTCCGAAATATTAATGTCATGTTGCTACAAGTGTGCTGGTACTTTGTGGCTCTATATTTCTGCAATGTCTTTGTAATGTTGCATTGCAATTTGCAACATTGCAATGTTGCTGCAATATAATTGCAATGATCTGTGCTGTATGGGTACTGTTTTAATATCTCATTATTGTGTTTGTAGTATTAAACATATATTTGTAAGCTTGCGAGATTTTGCTTTTTCTACATAGTGACCCAGACAGCACAAAATGTCCTCAGGTTCATCCTGAATATGTCCAGGATGGTTCAGGATATTTGTAGGATGTTTTAAGATATTATTATAAATATATTTTATGAAAATTTAATATGCATACATGATTACTTTCGGTTATGTAGGCTATTTAATATAATTTAGAAATTTTAAGTATTGTAATAAGTATTAATGTCCTATAAATGTGTCCACTGGATAACCTCTGGATGTCTGTAGGATATCTGCCCTGTCTATTATATTGGATGTCCTTTGGATTTCCAGAGGATATATACATGTGCAATTAATTGTTAACATTAATTTCGTTTAATATTAATAATTGAATTTGATGCGCACATTTTCATATATTCAAAATTATTATTTATTTAATATTTCATGAGAAATGTTACTATGCGCAACATTCCAAAAACTTTACAAAAAATAGTATTCAACCGCTAGTTCGTTTGTTTACCGCTATGCGACGCGCGAACTCGTATTTGAGATTTGGTCATGAGAATTATATAAAGCTTGCAAAGAGCAACTAACAGGAAATTAAAAATATAATTATTTTTTATCAGTTCAATTTTTCTGATGCAATCCCAACATAGGGAATTCAGATATTGGATTGTTTTGAAAATATTACACATAAACCTAAAATATTTATGTACAGCACGAAAACCTCAAATATTAAAGAACGTGAACTATTTTTAGTATTAGATTTTTAGTATTGGCAGTAAATAACAGAACGCAATCTTAATTTATATTTAAATTTTAGAATTTGTTCTTTTTAACGTGTGAAAAATATCCCTAACATATCCTATAGAAATCCTTAAGATGTTCCACAGATGTTTCACAGGATCTCCCTGGATTCTCCAGAGGCTAGTGTATGGCTATCATTTACTCTTCCTCAGGACATCCAGAGGAGATCCGAGGATTAAAATAGGATATCCTCAGGATATCCTACATGTATGTCCTGGATGCCCTTTGGACGTCCTAAGGACATCCTTGTGCTGTCAGACAAATGTTTGCTACAAAATTGTTGTCAAAATTAAAGCACACCTTGTCGCAAAGCTTTGGCAAAACGTGATTTTAACATTCTTGGCTATCTGGGATTATGAACACAAAATTGTTGATTATTTCCTAAACAATTACTTCATAGTGTTATCTCAGTTATTTATCTTGGTAATATTATACTATGTATAATTTTAATGACTTTTATAGTAATACATTCAACATCATCCCCCTTCATAAGTTTTGCCTTTTTTAATAGTTGCTGTATCGATTAGCCGCATATTTTCTTTATTCTATCAATTACTACATAATAAAGTCTTGATCATAAACAGTAAATGCAAATGATATACTATATATTATAGTATACACAAATGATACAATTAGGAATATTATTGTCATCAATTAATAATAGGATATTAAATACAATATGCACAACACATTTACATATATTTAGTGAAACAAGATATTTGATATAAATTTTGCAATATCTTTCATAAGTGCATCATATTTTTGTAAAAATAATGGATTTAAACGTTGCACAATTGCTGCAACTTGCGTATGCTTCTTTTTACAAACAACTATATGTATTTTTTTTACACCAATTAATTCCTCTCATTATTTTGTGTATAAAAGTATTGAAGTAAAATAATTAAAGAAATGAATATTTTACGAGATATTTTATAATTTATGTAAAATTACGTCAAATTGAAGTATAAAAAGTATCTAGTAAATTATTTAATTTCTGATCATTTGTATATAGTATTTGTGTATAGCTTCATTTAAAAAAACCAGTTGATCTATATGACCTTAAAAAATGATCTTATTATTAATTAAAATATAAGATTATCAACTCTTTTTCTCTCAAAATCCTCTATAAATTTTGTCTGAAATATTTTCTGCACGATGTCGCCCAGATAGCAATTTGATAGCAAATTGTCGCCAAATTGGTATCAAATTCGGTCAAAACTTGGTAACAAATCCGGTGCTATCTGTGTCCGCAATAAGCTCATGTTTTGCCAGCAAAGCCTGTGAACATAACCTGACAGCAAATTGATGGCAAAAACCGAGCAAAGCTTGCTGACATGACTTGATGTCAAATTGGCGGCAGAAATCGAGCAAGATCTGCGCAGGGGAATCTCACGCCAGATTGGCAGCAAAAACTGAATAAAATCTGCAGCTTTTAGCCATTTATATAAAATGATATATTTATAAATGGATTTAAAATCTCAATCCTAAATAGCAAAGTGAAGATAAATTTTGGTCACGAAATGATCAATTAGAAATTCTAAGTTAGCTCTCATGAGACCCGAAAATGACGTCATATATTACATTCACGGAAAATCATTTTCTGATGTTTTTTTAACAGTAAAAATAAGACCAATTACAGTATTAATATATAACGTTTTGTCAACAAAATCTGTAGCAAGTTTTCATAAAATCTGTTTTTGGCAGACTTGTCTATCTGAGTCAAGTTTAGAAGATATACATATACAGCTGTTTTTATTAATATGAGATAAGGACCACTACTCGCTATTAGCAGATTCTTGAGATCATTTGGAAACGAATTCTTCAACGAAAATGTCGAGGCATCTAATTTCCGAGTTATAAGCGATTCAAAAAGAAGAGTTTTACATAAATTAAACTTTGTAAAGAGAGAAAATTAACACAACTATATTTTTCAATTAATTTCAGATGGAGTTCACTTTAATAGAATTTTGGTAAAACTGCATAAAAAGTAACACACCTCCGATTTTATCAATTCCATTTAAATATGTTGTAGGGGAGGTGTGTCTGAATAATTTCCCGCAAGAAATGAGTGGGGGACGACATTGGTTTAGGAGATATAACAAATTAAAGTTTCACAGTTTTAATGCTTTTTCTCAGGTATTATAAAATAATATTAGGAAAAGTGAAGTTTATGTATGTTGTATTTGTTGTAGAAAACAAACGTGGAAAAAGTGTTCGTCTATATTTACGGGATAGGTACACGGTCATGGATATTTTGTCAATAATATATTTCACCTATTTCTCGCAGTTCGTTAACAGCTTTCAACATGCAATTACACGAATTTGTGAGTCGTCTTGAAAAATATTATTTATTGAATGCATGGGCGGGGAGGGGCTCCGCCCCTCTCCCTGCGCCCCCACCCCGAAAAAATCTAATGTAACCCAACTCAACTTTATTTTTAAAACTGAAAATAAGTTTGGGTTAGGATTTTTTCGGGATGGAGTGCAGGGAGAAAAGTAAAGTCCCTCCCCTGCCTATCCATAAATGTCATAAACCATAAACAGTTGTTTTTTTTTCAATGAAAGAGTAACAAATTATACAGCATACATATACTTTAATGTCAAACTTCAATTTGTTATATCTCCTAAACCAATGCCATCCCCCACTTATTTCTTGCGGGGAATTACTCAGAAGGTATGTCCTCCCCTACAACATATTTATACTCCGTCCAGAGAGAGAATGATCTCGGTCTGCGCATAGGCAGGCAAAGTGGGGAGAACATAGCGAGGTACTCAATACCGTATACATAGATACGGTTTCTGTGGGTGGAGACCTGCGCGAAACAGACGAGTTTTCGTCCGACCCGAGGTCATTCTCTCATTGGATAGAGTATAAGTGGCGATAAAATCGGAGGTATGTTTTACTTTTTATGCAGTTTTACCAGAATTTTAATCTAAGGCTTAGTTACAAAGATATATGATGATAAAAATTAGAAGCTTCCAAAAGCTTTTGCTGAAGAAAAAACATCTTCAAATTAGCAGAAAATTTTTTATTAAAAGGACATGCAATGTTAATTCAATTTTATATTATTTTTCAGTTTGCAGCCAATTATGCTCGTGACAAGCTTATCTCCAATATTAACAAAAAGGTTATTGAATTGAAGGATATATTGGCTGGCAAAGTACTCATTTCTCAGAATCAGCTGACCATAACTGAACCAGAAAAAAAGAAAGAAGACAATAAAACAGATGAGAAATTGCCGGAAAAAAGAAAATCTTTTCGTAAAGTTGCGAGTACTTCTTTAACGGATGATTGCATGAAAAAAGCTATTGAAGTAACTGACTCAGAATTGCTGGATAAATTGGAGAGCATAACACCGATTACAAGAAAGGTAGAGTAATACAAATAATCGAAATATATAAAATTATTATACATCAAATAGCATCGATGATCTTTTAAGAATATATATAATATTATGTATATGTGTAGAATGTATACACAACATAATATATACTCCGTCCAGTGAGAGAACTACCATGGATCGGACGAAAATTTGTCTGTTTCGGGCAGGTCTCCGCCCACGGAACGCCTAGAAAGCTCCTCTTCACACCGCTGTATTGCTTTTTTTTTGCTGCTAGTAAAGTGTTTACGAAGTCCCCCTAAATCTAAAACATTCCCCACAATATGAACGATCTCTAATAAAAATATGTTGTTATTAATTATCTCGTAAATCATAAACATTCAGCTGTATAATCTAAATATATTACAACGATTTCGATTTTTTATATCACATTGGCTCTTCCCATTTTATTCGCCTATGCGCAGACCGTGGTAGTTCTCTCGCTGGACGGAGTATAGAATATGTTTTTTATTGTCGTTATATTTACATGAAAAAATATTATGAAATAGATTTTCACTATTGTGAAGGTGGTTAGAAAGAAGATTTTTAACTTAAATGAAATGATTAATATGTGGCTTTTATAGTTATACTTCATTTACTTATATATTTCGTACTCCTTGTGGCAGTCTCTCAGAGCGCCTAAAAGCACGGCAGCCGATAACACCCGGCGCCTGCTGAATAATCGATTGGCCACCACGAAGCCAGCACACGCGGACCGCGTTGCGCACTTGCGATATAAAATGTGCTATTCTTTTGCGCAGTCAACATAAAAAGTTATATATAAAAAAATTAATATAACACTATAGTGTTATGCATTAATTCTTTTGCGCAATCGCACAACTGAAGAACTGAAGTGTGTTGGATGAGAAATTTCATTTCTCTTCTAATTAGCGCTGTTATAAATAAATATGAATAAGTAAGTTAAATAATGTGAAATATAGTTCAAGTATGTTGCGTATGGAATAATAATTCCGTGAAAGAAAAATATCGTATTTTTTCAGATTTCCTAAAAAACATGGCTATGAAAGAAGAGCAAAAATGTGGGCAGAAAGATACATTTGAAATTTTTGCACCTTTTTCGCAATGTACTTAATTATTATTCTCGGCCAGCGAGCAGCCAGTACGTACAATCGATGCGTATCCACAATAATTTAAGGACTTGATAAACGAGATATACATAGTGCAATTAGTAGATTCAATAGCCCAGACATGACAAACTCTAGTTGTTCGTCGTTACTATCACCGAAATCGCCAAGATCTCCACGATGAGGAACAGAAGCAGCAACCAGTAGAGCCATAGCTGGAGCAGATATCTTGATCTTTGCTTTTATAGAATTCAGAGCCCATTGAACTAGCTCCCGTTCGACCACAAATTCACTGAAAGAGCTCCTAGTCTCGTAGAATATAAAAGTAAGATGACACAGGTCGCAGGAGTTATGTTTGGCAAATACCTTCGTTGCTTTTACCATTGTTGCAGACATAATAACAGGAGTATGCAGACTCTGCCTGCATTGAAAGTACATCCGGGACATACAAAGTACAACCTAATTGACGCACTGTGGGACGCAGCCTAAGGTTAGACACTGGGCTACACACCGTGTGGCATCTGGGAATATCGCCTTTGGAGAAAATAAACAAACAGCCTCTTTGAGAGCTACAAAATATTAATATAAAACATCTATATTTGTATATGTGTATTGTATAGATATAAGTATTGTATATAATAATCTCTACATTTCCAATAAATACATCTAAACTAAAGCAAATGACTAGTCATTTGGCGGTAGACCAAATTCTTCTTCTTAACAATATGTACAGAGATAATGGCTCGATCTCATGCTCTTTTCATACTTTATACTACAAATTTTTTACTACAAGATTGTATGTGTAGCATATCTATATATATTCTACAGCGATTACTTATTTAATATGCGTATGTATGGGCTATATAGTTTACACATTAGAAAATTTTAAAAAATTCAAAACATCATGCGTGTGCACATGAAAATAATAATTAAATGTTTCCAATTTTCGACACTATAACAAGTTTCGTATATGTTTCGTAAAAAGAATCTATAAATAGATAAATTTGGAAAAATTAAAAAAAGATGGGTTTTATCTGTTTTCTGTTGTGTATTGCATTTTTTTGTTTATAGGTCAGACCATGTAAGCAAAATGAGGAACTAGTGCCTAAAGTGGACATGATGAAATATCTTGAAGGAAACAAAATTAATTACGGCAGACTTCTAACAGATGAAGTTCTAGCAGTCGATCGATTGTTGGTGGAAACTGCTAAGAAACATATGGATGTTGCTGGTAATTATTTTTGTTTTTCTAAAAATGTAAACAAGTATCTTTGTCTTGCTACAAATATTGAATAAGTTATTGATATTAGTTCTGTTGAGAGTAAAAATGTGGTAAATTGGCAGAATATCTTGTAACATTAATAAATACAAAAGTAGACAATTCTCTTGTAATAACAATTTAAACAAGTTATCATGAAGAATAATATTAACTAGGCAATCTTATTTGTCGAAAATGAAGTCTTTTTTTGGGAATTTATTATAAAAAAATGAATTAAAATCGATAATTGTCCTTTAATAAAATGTTTATTAGGATTATAAATTATAAAAAAAATTTTTTTTTGATTGAGAATTTGCATTAAAAATGGCGCTGTAGATGGCTGATCGAAAAAGATTTTTAAATAAGTTTTGCAGTAATAACTCAAATACAGAAGCTCAAACCGACTTGAAAAAAATTTAGCACGTTCACAATATGTATAATTTCGAACTGAACCTCTTAGAAGTCTGTGCAAACTTTAGTTTTTGGGAAAAAGAAATCAAACATCTGTTTTTCGACGAAAAACGAACTTTTTATTTAAAACATCGCCATTTTAATTGCCTGTTTGATTTTTTTTCTCAAAAACTAAAGTTTGCGTAGACTTTTTAGATGTTCAGTCCGAAATTATACATATTGTGAACATGCTCAATTTTTTTTAAGTCGATTTGAGCTTCTGTATTTGAATTATGACTGCAAAACCTATTTAAAAATCCTTTTTGATCAGCCATCTGCAGCGCCATTTTTAATACATATTCTTAACAAAAAAAAAAATTTTTTTATAGTTTATGAGCCTAATAAATATTTTGTTAAAAGACAATTCTTGATTTTAATTCATCTTTTTGTAATAAATTCCCAAAAAAGATTTCATTTTCGACAAATACGATTGCCTAGTCCTCTTAATCTGTATTCATATATGTACATACATATATGTTATAATAATATCTTAAAACATCCTACAAACATCCTGAACCATCCTGGACATATTCAGGATAATCCTGAGGACGTTTTGTGCTGTCTGGGATATTATAAAGTATAGAAAAATATTAACTTTTGAAAATGTAAAATATTTTAAAATTAAGAAAGAAGCTGTTTTTGTTATATATATTTAATTGATGTCGTTTACCTTCTTTTTTATGTAAATTATATTGATAATTTCAGGTACAACTGCTTTGATTGCTCTTTTGGAAGATAATAAGTTAACTATAGCAAATGTTGGAGATTCTAGAGGAGTGATGTGTGATGGAAAAGGCAATGCAATTCCTTTGTCTTTCGACCACAAACCACAACAAGTATTTATCCCTTTTTATAATCATATTTTAGTAACCCTAAAACTGGAGTTTCGCATTGTCAGATTATCACCGCACGAAGTCTCCAATATCAATTCGGAATTTGCCCGTCACTCTCTTCTGCCGACCATTAAAAACAATAAAAAGAGATTTAATTGTCATCATTGTTGAAAAAATGGATATATAGTTATAAAATATTATGATTTAAAATATTGTTTTTTATTTTTGATAAGAGAAAATCTATTTCAAGTTCAACAAAGAATTAGATATAAGAACTTTTTGTATCAAATATAAATAATTGTATAAGATTGTGAATAGATTTTTGTGGTAATTTAAATACAAAAATATAAAAAATATCCTATATATATGCAAACATAATATTATGTATTAATGATCATATTTTTAAATTATTGAATTAAATTTATTTGTTTCTAGGAAAGAGAAAGGAAAAGAATAAATAAAGCTGGTGGTTTGGTAACTTTTAATGGTGTGTGGAGAGTTGCTGGCATATTAGCGACTTCTCGTGCTCTAGGAGATTATCCTTTAAAAGACAAAAAGCTCGTCATTGCTGATCCGGATATTTTAACGTTCGATTTGAATGATCATAATCCAATGTTTATAGTACTGGCATCCGATGGCCTATGGGATACATTCTCAAACGAAGAAGCTGTAGCTTTTATTAAAGAGCGTATCAATGAGCCACATTTTGGTGCGAAAAGTATTACACTGCAGAGTTTTTACAGGTAAGATGTGCGTGATTAGTTTTAAATGTAAAACTGGAAGGAAATAGTAGCTAATAATAGACTGTTGCCACCTCAGCCGCGGATGCGTAGTTTTAAGATGCTCGAGTATCTAATTTATTTATATATCTAATAAAATAAAATTAAATAAAACGCATTTATTGTTACATAATGTATTTATGCGGGGAGGCACGGTCGGGAGTGCCGCGCGCCCGCTACATTGTTTTCGAATAGTCTATGTTGAACCGTTGGCGCTAAAATCATGCCTAATATTCGCCAAATATTCGGCAAATATTCGGTTATTCGGCACATGACCTTGTCTAATATTCGGTATTCGGTCGAATATACTATTCGTCGTTTGCATCTCTAATTTAAAGTATTACAAGCTGTTATCTCTGAAAGCATTATAGCAAAAATGTTTTATATAAAAGTTGTTTGATTTGAAGGGGAAAAAGATAGGGATAATAGCTTGACTTTTGGTGTAGGTGCCAAGGTCATGTGAAAATCAAACCAGTTTTTTTTAACCACCCTAATTTTTTTATATATATCGATTCCTTGCAATATTTGGAGTAAAAAGTTATAAGGATAAAATAGCCAAAAATTGAATAGTTTACGAGATATTTTACTTTAATTTGACATAATTTATTTACATAAACTATGAAATATCTTATAAAATATTTATTTTTCGATTATCTTATCTCAATATTTTTATGCACGGGATAATAAAATTAGTGTAAAGAAAACACTTGCAAATTCATACTTAAAAAAAAAACAACTGTGTTTCCTTTACACCAATTGATTTCTTTCATTATTTTGTGCAAAATTATTGAGATAAGATAATTAAAAAATAAATATTTTGCGAGATATTTCATAGAGAGAGTTCATATAAAATTATGTCAAATTAAATCTCTATAATCTATCAATTCTGATTTTTTCTTTCATTTTTGATAGTAAAAAGTTGATTTTAAAAAATAGTTAAGAGTGTAATCTGTAATATGTAATTTTTATTTATGTCACTTATGTTTTGTAGAGGATCTGCGGATAATATTACCGTCGTTGTGATTAATTTGAAGAATCGCAAATACAGCATATCGGAGGCTAAGAAGAACCAGTTATGACTTTTACAACAAACCATCTATTTTTTCATTGTGAAATTACAAAGGTCTAGTCATAAAATTAATCTAACCTGTTGCATCTTAGTTAATTTATTACAACTGTGCTGATGTAGAACGTATTTCCTTGCACTTATTTTTATTTAACACTACAAGTGATGTTAAATTAATTTCAATAGAATATTATTGAATTTAATTATAAAAATATACAATTTTTATTTTTAAAGAATTTTTTTTGCAACATATTTATGTTAACCATTTTTTTTCTTTTAACTATTGATATTGAATTTGTTAACATAAAATTGGATATATTTAAATCTATATAATAAACTTATAAAATAGATATAAGAACTGTTTCGAAATTATATGGATTGGCAATATTGCTCAATAAGTATAATGAACTGAATTTTATATATATATATATACATCCTTATATACGTATGTATGGTGTAAAAGTGCCAATTATAATCAGTTTTGTCTTTTAAGCGCATACACATGAAAAGCTTTGTACAAGTGTTGTTAAAAATTTAGTCAATATTTATATACACATATATACAAATTTGTAAACGTTGTGATATGGGTTTCGGTAAGCGATCGTTATGCAGAATGGCGCGTTATTCTAGCGGGAGACGGCACGGTATATACAAGCGTGAGTGGAACAGTGTCGGAGACTCCTGACAGCCGAGAAACGCCTCAACTTGGACAGGTAACAGGAATGTCGGAGATTCCCGACAAACCCGAGAAACGCTTTAGCCCGGACAGGTAACAGGAACATCGGAGACTCTCGACAGAACCGAGAAACGCCTCAGCCCAGACAGGTAACAGGAATGTCGAAGATTCCCGACAGAGCTGAGAAACGCCTCAGCCCGAACAGGTAACAGGAATGTCGGAGATTCCCGACAAACCCGAGAAACGCCTTAGCCCGGACAGGTAACAGGAACATCGGAGACTCTCGACAGAGCTGAGAAACGCCTCAGCCCGAACAGGTAACAGGAATGTCGGAGATTCCCAACAAAGCCGAAAAACGCCTCAACTCGGATAGATAACAGGAATGTCGGAGACTCCCGACAGAGCTGAGAAACGCCTCAGCCCGGACAGGTAACAGGAATGTCGGAGATTCCCAACAAAGCCGAAAAACGCCTCAACTCGGATAGATAACAGGAATGTCGGAGACTCCCGACAGAGCTGAGAAACGCCTCAGCCCGGACAGGTAATAGGAAGGTCGAAGGCTCAGATCGGATGGATAGGAAGACTGGATCGAACCTGGTGGTGTGTCAACCGAGTGGCCTTATATACCCGGCTGGGGCCCACCGTGCTATGCCGGCGGTAGGAACCGAGCCCACGGAGGGAATCGCGTGCGTGAAAAAAATAGCTTTATCCTACGTTGTGCCATGCGTGAAATAAAGAGAGTCAGAGATAGCGAGAACTGGAATGTATTATATGATATGTGATACAAGATTATGATGCAGAGGTCGGAGGGGTGAATCCGTAGTGGCGATGCTTGTTGCATCGTTACAAATTATAAGAATTTATTTTATTAATATAATAATAAATATGTACAAAGTACATAAATAAAATAAAAAAATATAAATAAAAAGATAAAAGGTATAAGTAATCTTCAAAAGTAATTAAACAACTAACAGTAACAGTAAGTTCTGTAATAAAAATTGTTGAAGTTGTGTTCACATGTTCATCATTTGGAGATATTCAATCAAAAAAGAAACAAATAATAATGAGTATTTAAATAAATTAATAAATAATGAAAATAATAAAATAATAAATAATAAAAATAATTTGTACTAAAGATAATAAAATAATAAATGTATTTAAAGAATTTGATTTTATAAAAATTTTGTGAAAAATTCTTAAAGTTACATATTATATAAATTATATTGCTGATATATGTATAGCATAGCTAAAATTATGTGGATTGTGTTCCAAAATTCACTGCCAGTACTGAAAATCCATAGTTTACGTAACGTATATTATAGATTTCTAGTATGGGCAGTGAATTTTGGAACATATTTAGTTAGTATATCACAGAGAGAAAGAGAGAGAGTGTGTATATTATTTATCAGTTAGTTATTTTTCACATTAATTTTAGCTACTATCGTAATTGGTTTAATTGTGGTTCTGCAGATTTCAGAATAGAAGGTTTTCTATATGCCTTATAAAAAAGTTTTATTATAAACTCACATTCACATGTTTTAATTACAATAAATTGGTTAAAATATTTAATGTTTTATTAATAATCTATTGTTTCTTTTGTAAATCAATAGTTTATTACATATCTCTTTTGCTAATGCGGAATAACTGGAGCTGGTAATTCGAGATTTTAATCTTATTTCTGTTTTAATATATGCATACCAAATTTATAGAAATTTAGCTAGATAATTTTATTGATTACAGCATATATATTTTCATTGTTTGCAAAATTGCCCAAATTTAATTCTTGTGCTAATGATATAATATGTAAAAACTTGAATATCAACCAATTATGCAGAAATGTTACAGTATATCGTTAAAATATTTTTTTCATAAAGGAAAAAGAAAGATATCTATATACATGCAAACATGTACACACAACAAAAATTATCTTGTAGTGATCACAAAGTATTATAACAAAATAAACATACATTCAAAAAGAAGAATAGATATTTTTAATATTTTATATGTGACTTACTTAATATATCAAGTAAAATATGTGCTTTTAATGTAAACTGAAATTGCAGAAATGGAAAATATAACATATTCCCCATATTTTTACCTTATTTTTCTTGCTATAAAAACAATTTATATTTATCTACATGTTGCAATAAAACTTTATTTCTAATTGTCCTATGTCTCTTAAGTTTTAATCAATAGACGGTTTTGTTCGTCTACGATGATGATTTCGCGCTAGTGCATGAATAATCGTCACTAAGAAATAGCAGACCATTATTGTTACAAATTTGTCAAACAGCCATGATATTGTAGTTGTTCCGTCCTGTAAGAATATGTTTATTTTGAGATGGGTCTCAATACATATTGCTTATTATAATTTGTAAAACTGACTTACCATAGATGACTTAACATGTAGCTTTTGTTTTTGTTCAATAAAATATTTCTTTAATGGCTCTTGGAATTTTCTACCAACAAATGGTATGATTGCTAATAAGCTAATAAATTTATCTAAAAGTTCTTCATTGAAGGCTATGATTACTGCTAATTGTTGTATATGCATTTTGATGACAGCTTTTCCTATTAACGTTGCACCGAAGAATGTCCAGAATGGAATTAGATAATGCCCACATGTCAAACCAGCCAGGTCAAACAGTGGATTTGGAATCTGTCAAATTTTATTTTGATAAATGCAATACAAAAAAGTAGATTATATCATTGGTTATAAAGAATCTCTTGCTAAAAATTAAAAAAAAAAAAAACAAAAAAAGCTATACATACTGATGCGCAAGCTAATATGCCCCAGAATCCAGCTTTCTCAACAAATTGCTTCATAGACAACTTGATACGCATTACAAATGATACATTTTTCTCATTTTCTAACTCTTCTAGAGCTTCTAATTCTTTTAGATCTTGATCAAAATTTTCATTTTTACTGTTCTGTCCACTTATCCTTGCAGCTCTAGCCATAAAATATGGCGGTAACTCGCCAAGTGCAGTACCAGCTCCCCATAGCATGGCTTCTACACGTACTTTTTTCATAATATTTAATATACCTACTGTCCACATTGGATCAATTTTCGTTGGGCATATTATTTGGTCAGGATATGGTGGTTCAGGAAAATTTAGAGCACCACATTCATATGCTGCCATAGTAACAGCTGCTATGTGTGGTCCTAAGTATAGCACAAAGGTATGCAAACCTGTTCCAAGACCTACACTTGATAGTACACCAAGCCCTATCCAATATAACCACCATATAATCTTAGCTTCCCACAACTTAAAAATCTAGAAATAAAAAGCAAAAGAATTATTTTATATCAAGATAAAAATTTCTTATACACACATTAGACATATACACACACACACACACAATTTCTCTTAAAGTGTTACAAGCTTTTTTTTTTGGAAAGATAGCAAAAAAATTTTTTGGGCATTTTAGTTTTGACTAAAATCTTGTACGATAGAATCTTTTATGATAGAATCTTCACAAGTATCTTCACAAAGAAGTAAAAAATATTCATTTTACTAAAAAAATATATATATTGTATACTATATATATGTAGATTCTTTTATTCATTCTGTGTACCAAAATATTAAGATAGGATGATTACAAAATCAACAGTTTATGAAATATTTCATAATTCAATTTGGCTTTATAATATAAAATATGTAATATCTCGTAAAGTGTGTATATACTCATTTCTCCATAATATTAGCTTAATACTTTTATATATACAGAATGATAAGGTCAAATTAACTAATAAAGGCTCTTATGAATATATCATACGAAGGAAATAAAAGGCAATCAAGAGCCAGCATGGTAATTTGTGCGCATATGTTTTATTACAATCAAATTACATTGATATTTTGACTACGAGATAGACAAAATCACAAAAAGCGTACGTTTCGATCCCTTTTTTTGGACCATCCTCAGCGCAATTACAAAGTATATGGAATATATTATATCAAAAATGTGAAAGTAATAATACGCAGAACAAGAGTGAGTCACCCATGTTGTCAGACGCTTTTTGTGATTTTGTCTATTTCGTAGTCAAAATATCAATGTAATTTGATTGTAATAAAACATATGCGCACAAATTACCGCGCTGGCTCTTGATTGCCTTTTATTTTCTTCGCAGAATGATAAGATAAATTGAGATTAATGTAAAAGACATATTGCATTTAAAATATCTTATAAAATAAAATATAGTAAAAAATATCTTATAAAAATATAAGGTATTGATTTTCTATATATATATATATACACATAAAACAAATCATACTTCATTTAAAAAATGAAAGAAACCCTCTTTTCTGTCCTTTTAAGAGTTCAATATCGATATTCCATCATGTAAAAGATAAAAGCTAACATTAAAATGCCAAAAAAAGTAATTTTATTATTTTTAAGTTTTGGCGGAGAAAAAGCTTATATAATGTCTTATATGAGACACCTAATATGTATACTATATGTATGCGCGCACGCATCGTCGTTTTTTGCTTATTATTAGCAAAAATGTCAAGAAAAATCATCATTTATTGTAGTTTTCCACTTTCAACGTATATATATAAAGTGAGAAAAAAATTTCCCATTTAATCCAGCTCGTAGTTTTCTATATGTAAAAATACCCAGACTTACAAAAAATCAAAAATAATAGTGACCTTTCAAAAGAAAAGATTTTAAGCTTTAAAACCAATTTTTTTAAATTTAAATTTTATTCATTTTTAATGATGCCACAGCTGGCTGAATTTTGTCTATTTTTCTTAAAAAATTAGATGTTATTTAATTAAACTTTATTTTATAAAATTTTAATTTAAAGCTTAGTTATGAAGATATATATATTAAAGATTGGAAAAAAGAGGAATACGATTAATGATAATCTACCTTGATATCTGCTTGCATTAAGATAAAATTCCTGTTTATATAGGTTAAAAAAATATCTATGTTTAAAAGAATATCTAATAGTTCTTGGATTATATTCCATAGAAATTAAACAAAGAATTGTACATGAAGTAATAATATAATTCTATTAATATATGTCCACAATTATAAATGACACAACATACCTGTTGTTGTGGACCGGATATTCGGCCTGATAGAAGAAATAGTATTATAATTGAAATTATAATACATACTGTTCGTTTGTAAAGCAACGTTTTCTTCACTAAACTAAGTATATTAATGAACACTTCGCTAAAGAAATAATGTAATGTTGTAATTGGATGTTGCCAAAGTGTTAAATGATCTGGATCCAAATTCTGGATTGAAACATTGTGTGGATGGCTCAAACTGTGTTCCATTGGAGTGGAGTTTTTTTTTCCAATAGTTCTCTGAGCACCATTAGTAGGAGCTTGATCTTTTGGATGTTGAATGGCAGTAGAATTAACCAACATGGCTTTCTAAATAATTAATCTGTAAATAAAATTTAATGTGAAAGATTAAAATATAATTCAGTAATAACTTTTATATATATGTGTATATGTGTGTGTGTGTGTGTGATATTATTATTTTTTTATAAATAGTTTTGAAAATATATGTTAACAAGCTTTTTTTACAACATGAATAAATATACATCGTTTGTAATAAAAACCTTTCACAGTAAAAAATATTTAATTCAAAATGATATGATAAAAATATTTAATTCAAAATGATATATGTATATGTATAGAATATGCTTCACTAAGCTTACAAGCATTTTGAATCATTTAATTGTCTAATCAGGATAAAAGATTTCTTTGTTTTGATTGGTCAATCACTCATTTTAAAGTATTTGTAATCCCAGAGATAGTGCATCCATCAATATTTGTAGTTGTTATACATGTGTATTATTATGAAAAATTAAATGGAACATCTTTACATTTACATGTCCCAAATTAAAATAATATAATACAAAACTGGTTGTTTTTATATTATAATACAAAACACTATTTCACAATAATTTATTCTAATCAGTGTATCAATATCAATGTTTATAATTGTATATACAGAATTTTTTTGTCTTGCTTAAGTTCACCAATCTTCATCATTATTGTGAATTCACTGTGATAAATGTGGAATA